GGGTACCAGGCCCCCCGCTGGTAGTGGTGAACCATCAGCACGTTTGCCAGGAAGCTGGAGTCCCGTGGGGCTGTTCCTTTGGAGGGGGCAAAGGGGAGGTGGGCACGACTGGACCCTGCCCATCATGATGCAGCCCTTCCCTATCATGACAAGGTCCTCCTCACCACAATATATCCATCCCTCCCCTATCACAACACAGCCCTCCCCTAGCAAAACGTGGCCCTCCCATATCACGACAGAGCATGCCCCTATCACGATAGTGCCCTCCCCTATCACGACACAGCCCTCCCCTATATGACATTACTGTCGTTCTCCACGACGGTGCTCTCCCTATCACGACAGACCCCTCTCTATCGCGACAGCTCCTGACCATAGAAGAGGTAGCCGAGCAGGGCGCGCAGGTCGGGGTCAGAGGTGAGCTGGGCCACAGCCTGGCTGTGGCTGGTGGCGGCCAGGTGGAACACGGGGGACAGGAGGGACAGGAGGCCAGAGCGGAGCAGGAGGGTGGCCACCCAGCGCGGGACCAGCTTCAGCACGGCCAGCAGTGCCACGTGCCGCGAGGCCACCTGGGGGACATCGTGCCATGTCACTGTCACCACTGCCACCACCCCACCCTGCCACCACCACCAGCGTGGGGCCAGCTTCAGCACAGCCAGCAGTGCCTCGTGCCACGAGGCCACCTGTGGGACATCAACCCGTGTCACCACTGCCAGTGCGGGGTCAGCTTTGGCATGGCCAGCAGTGCCACATGCCACCGGGGGGACTTTCTGCCACTTCACTGTCACCACTGACACCAACCACCCTGCTACCACCACAAGCATAGGATCAGCTTCAGCGCGGCCAGCAGTGCCACGTGCTGCCAGATCACCTGTGTGACACTGACCTGTGTCACCACTGACATCATCCCAAATCACCACTGCCACTGCAAGACCAGATTTGGCACCATCAGCAGTGCCACATGCCCAAGGCCACGTGTGGGACACCAAGCTAGGCCACTGTCACCACCAACGCCTCCTTGCCTGGCCACCGTGTCATCAGGACTGTCACTGTCATGACCCCATGAGCACCACCTGTGGCTCAGCACCCATACCCACCATGCCTAACGCCCATGTTCTCACTATGCCCAGGACTTCCCTCCACCATGCCCAGCACCTGTGTCCCCAGCATGCCCACTACTTGTGTCCCCTCCACACCCATCACTTGTGTCCCCTCTGCACCCACCACCCATGTCCCCACCATGCCCATCACCTGTGTCCCCTCCATGCCCACCACTCTTGTACCCATCATTCCCATCACTTCTGTCCCCTCCACACCCATTACCAGTGTCCCCACCATTCCCATTGCCCCTTCCCCACCATCACCCATGTCCCCACAGAACCCACCAGTGCCACCACCACACCCACCCCCCTATTCCAGGCTGATCATTCCCAGCCAGAGAGACCCCACCACCCCTCCCTGACACTGTGGTCACCTCCCCATGGGGGTGGTGTGTCTCCACCTTGGAGATCTTCATGAACTCCCTGATGGCCGCCTTCTCCGCGGGGAACTGCTCCTCCAGCGCGGTGACAAAGGCCACCTTGCCGGCACGCAGCTGGTAGCGCCGGGGTCCCAGGGTCACCTCATCATAGGGGTCGGGCAGGCGCTGCCAGCAGAGCTGCCCATCCGTCAGCTGGTCCAGTGCCACACGCAGGAGGCTGCCCTCGTGCAGCTGCCCCACGTAGTGGATGCCTGCGGGATAGAGACAGGGGACATGGCGGGGGGACACCGGGGGGGTCACATGGACATGTGGTCAGAGCACCCAGGGGGCAACGGGGGAGAGAAGGGCTTGGCTTTCGCCTGTTGTGGGTCACATTGAGGGTGGGGGGTGGGATGGGCTGCTGGCACGGACACAGCATGGACAAGGCATGTGCATGGCACAGGCACAGAAAGCACGTGGCATGTACACAGAGCACACATGACGTGCCCATGGCACACACAGACTGCACACAGCCCTGCACACAGCCCTGCACACTCAAGCACACACACAGGCGCTGTGGGGGCAGCAGCAGTGCCAGGGGATGCTGGGGGCCTGGGGAGCGTCG